ATGGTTGCCCTGTCTGTTCCACTGCAAGTTCTGCAAGTGCTTCCCACCTCGACATGGAGATCTTGTCCACGAAAACCCGCTCTAAACCCTAAAGCCTTAAATCGGGATGGCCTCCCCGCTTCGAAGCAGGTTCCGTAAAGCCCTCTAAACCCAAACCCTAAACCCCTAAACCCTAAACCCTATGAACCCTAAAGCCTCAACTCGAAAGGTGCACGGGCAGCCAGGAAAGCTCCGTGTGCTTCTCGTTGAGAAGCTCCGCGTGCCGAGGCGGTGTAGGGGGCTCGGGTGAGGGTTTGAGGCGCTTTGGGGTTCATAGCGGTTCTAGGGGGCCCTCGTGGGCTTCTGCGGTCCAGGGTGTGTTTGAGGCGTCCAACCTGCGCCGTAAACCTGGAACTCTGAGCCCTCAACCCGACACAAAACGTGCAGAAGAACCCAAGACACCCCAGGCCCAGATGCTTGAGTTGCTACACAATGAGTCGGAGGCCCTGATTCCTAGACCCCCTGGAAGCCCCCAAACCTCAAACCCCCTCAATCCCGAAATCTCCGAAAATTCTAGAACCCTTAGAGCGCGCTCTGGGGGCCGGGTTTGTGGCTTCCAAGATCCCTGGCAGGCTGGAGGCTGCCTGGCCCATCTCTCCGCAGAGCCAAAGCCTTCTCGTCAAGGCTATTCTTGTAGGGTTTAGGGTTTAGGGTTTAGGGTTTAGGGTTTAGGGTTTAGGGTTTCGGGTGTATGGCTTAGGGTAACCCTTTGTAAAGCCCTTGCCCTAGCTTGATGCTTCGGGTGACAAAAGCCCGAAGCCCACAAATCCAAAATCCGAGTTTGAGGTTTAGGGTCAGGTTTTTTTTTTTCTCTGGGGGGGGGGGGGAAGTTCTCCCTACTCAAGAATCCAACCTCTCTGGTGCGGAGGATGAGCTCTTGCGCGCGATCCTGGGCATCTTTCAGAAAGGCCGGTGGTGGTGCACGAGACCACGGTGGGAGGGAGAGGAGAGTGCTGCGTATGGAGCAGGAGCCTAAATCAGCGTACTCAATCCTTATTTTTTCTGACAATGGATTTGGGTTTATTAGGCTTCATAGAGTTTATGGGGTTTGTAGGGTCAGTTTAGAGGGCTTGTAGGGTTCACAGGGCTTACAGGGTTCATATTGGTTTATAGGGGTTTACATGGTTTACAGGGGTTCAGACGGTTCATGGGGTTTTGGGGTCTTGTGCCGTTGCCCTGCAGGTCAGACGCACATGGCCGCGGTGTGCTCCAAGGCGACGGAGCTTGGAGACAGCCTGGCCCCTCTGGACGTGGCCGGCTTGGGTATCCTGACCCCGGAAGAACTCAGGAGCCGGTGGGCCAAGCTCTTTTGCATCATGAGCAGGCCCCAGGGTGTGACAGCGCATGAGAACTACTTCTATCATTTCTGTTAGTCTCTGTTCGGTGTATGGAGCATAAACCTTTTCGAGTTCGTTTATGCGGATGTTCCGCCTGAAGCCCGGGAAAGCGCCTGCGAGGAGCTGGTGTGCGAAGACATCGTCGATGGGATCTCTACATCGCCGCCGCCCACGAGGAGCCTAAGCCCTGAAGCCCAAAACCGTTTACAACTTAAGCCCTGCACCCTCAACCTCCGAAGCCCCCAAGAACGCCTCGTTGAGGTGGGTGCCTTGGAGCGCCTGAGGGGCGCAGGCGCCTCGACTGCGCCCAGAACGCGGTGTCCTTCGGCGCCAATCCTTCCCACTTGGACCGGCTGGTGGAGGGGCTTGAGGGCTTTTTTAGGGCCTCAGGGCTGAGGGTTTGAGATTTGGGCATGGAGCGCTCGAAACAGAGTTCAAAGCCCAAAACCCTAAGTCCGAGAAACCCCAAGATCGCAATACAAGCCCTAAACAGGACCTTGGCCAAACGGTGCCGGTGCGGAGGCACCCGCAACCAGCGTGGAGCTTGTCCGCAAGCTTGGAGCGCATGCGCAGCATTGCGCAGCAAGGTTACCGGGCTGCAATCTTGCGATGGATTGTGATTTTGGGGTTTTAGAGTTTCGAGGGGGAAAGGTCGACATGTTTACAGGGTCTGTAGGTTCAAGTTGCGAGCGTTGGGGTTTGAGGTTCAAGATCTCATTTCATTCAGTCTAGAGTCTATAGGAACCTTAGCCGCTAAAGCTCAAAAACCAAAAATATTGGCTCAAAAGTGCTCAGGCGACGCGGCTGCGCGCGCTTTGCGCACCGTCGCCCGCATCCCGGCTGCTGCGGAAGCTGACGAGCTGACGACGGAGATGTCGTGAGCCCGGGTTTCGTTTCTAGGGTTCCGCCAGCTTGCTGAGGGTGGTTGGGATTTGGGGTTCGAAGCCTAATTCTACTTTCCCGGGCTGCAAGCTTCGTACTGTGCAGCCAGAAGCTCCAAGCTCCAAGCCCCACACCTCGAATCCCAATCTGTACTATGTCGTCTCACGCGCATCGGTTCGCAAGCTTCAAGGCAGAAAACAAAGGAGAGCTGTCCGGTCCGTGGCGGCTTCTCTGCGTTCACAGGGGCTCTGGGCGTGAGCAGCGTCGTTTACGGGGCCCACCCTTTGCGGAACAGTGCAAACGTGTTTACCTAGTGAACTTCGGGTTCAGGGTTCAGGCGTAGGGGCTTCAGGACTTCAGGATGTCGGGGTAAGGGTTTAAGGCTTAGGCCTTAGGGTTGAAGGTTTGTTTTGCGCCGTTTGAGAAAAAACCGTATTGTGCCGCCATTTTGGAAAGCTCCTCGGCCTGTCTCTGGTGGGTAGGGTATTTTTTTTTGTGTTTTTTTCTGTTTTTTTTGTGTGTTTTTTTTTCTGTTTTTTAAGCAAGAAAGAAAGACAGAAAGAGAGAAAGAAAGAAAGAAAGAAAGGAAGAAAGAAAGAAAAACAAGACAGAAAGAAAGAAAGAAAGGAAGAAAGAAAGGAAGAAAGAAAGGAAAGAAAGAAAGAAAGAAAGGAAAGCAAGACAGAAAGAAAGAAATAACTAAAGAAAGAAAGGCCGAAAGAAAGGAAATCAAGACAGAAATAAAGAAAGAAAAAGAGAAAGAAATAAATAAAGAAAGAAAGAGAGAAATAAAGAAAGAAGGAAAGCAAGACAGAAAGAAAGAAAGAGAGAAAGAAAGAAAGAAAGAGAGAAAGAAAGAAAGAAAGACAGAGAGAAATAGAGAAAGAAAGAAAGAAAGAGAGAAAGAAAGAAAGAAAGAACGAAAGAAAGAAAGACAGAAAGACATAAAGAAATAAAGAAAGAAAGAAATAACCCCCCCCGCTTTGTTTAAGCCGTGCAAGCTTGCCTCAAAGCATATGCCATATGCACACTTTTGCGGAAACCCATCATGCGAGAATCGTCACATTTTCGGAAACCCATCATGCGAGAATCGTGTTTGCAAATGGGGGGGGCTGCGCCCCCCCCAACCCCCCCGCTTTCTCAAGCCGTGCAAGCTTGCCTCAAAGCATATGCCATATGCACACATTTTCGGAAATCCATCATGCGAGAATCGTGTTTGCAAATGGGGGGGGCTGCGCCCCCCCCAACCCCCCGCTTCCCGCAACACACCCTACACCCTAAACCCTAAGCCGTAGTTCCTGCCATATGCACACTTTTGCGGAAACCCATCATGCGAGAATCGTCACATCTTCGGAAACCCATCATGCGAGAATCGTGTTTGCAAATGGGGGGGGCTGTGCCCCCCCCAACCCCCCCGCTTTCTCAAGCCGTGCAAGCTTGCCTCAAAGCATATGCCATATGCACACATTTTCGGAAACCCATCATGCGAGAATCGTGTTTGCAAATGGGAGGGGCTGCCCCCCCCCCCAACCCCCCGCTTCCCGCAACACACCCTACACCCTAAACCCTAAGCCGTAGTTCCGGACTGAAGGGGCAATGATACGAGGAGCAACCTTGACCCCGCAAACCGTAGAGCCTAATAAGACCCAAATCGTCCACCATAAGCCGCAAATCCTGATAGAATGTTTGCGGCCTACATGCGCAGTAAGCCCTAAACCGAAGCAAAGTTTCAGATTGAAGCATCCGAGGTTCCTCTTGAACCAGCCCCGGACGTTAACTAGCTTTTGAGTCCTGTCGGGGCCAACGATGGCCGCCCCGACGCTCCAAGCGCGAGTTGCAAAAGGACGAAGGGTTGGACGTAATGTGTTGTTGTAGCACGTTGAGATTTGGACCTGTTCCGGACACGGTGCCGCTGAGAGGCCATCGGAAGCTGAAAACCAGCAAAATTCACCAAAAAAACCAGAAAAATACACAGAAAAGAATTCCCACCAGAGGAGGACGACAGGCAGAACCAGGAGGGCATGTTCTGAAAACCACAAGAAAAGCAAGAAAAAGCAAGAAAATTCACAAAAAAAAAACCAGAAAAATTGACAAAAAAATACTCGCTCCCTCATCTGGTCAGCAGAGCTGGTCAGAAGTATGGGGGAAGTGCAACGGACAAACCTCATGATCTTGTCGCTGCTCGTACAGCCCCTTTCTTCCGAGCAATGGATGGTCCCCAGTTGTGGTGGACAGGGTGGCTTTGATGGCTCCGCATCCCTGTAACAGCTTGTCAAAGCAAAGCCACGCCAAAGCCGAGGCAGGCAAAACCAAGTCCTAGCCAAAGCCAAGAACAAAGCTAAAACCCAAACCAAAGCCAAGCCAAGCAATCGATGGACCAGCGCTGTTTCAAGTTTAGAAATGATGCCGATTTTTGCATGCGCTTACGTTTGGACAGGCTGCCAGCTGCAGCTTTTGTACCTGTTGCTTGTTCAGAGCTTTCAAGTTCTGTAAATTGAAATTTTCGTGCGTGGATCGTGTAGAAGGTAGTCCGCACATGTGTTGCAAATGACAGCATGAGCAAGTGCAAAGCTGTGCGCATATGTGCCAGTTTTTCCTATGTTCCGAGACTGCTAGTTTTTCTTTCAAGCCTGTACACTCCTCATACGACTGAACCCTAGACTCAGACGTAGACTCAGACCCCATTCGCCCAGAGATCTTGTTGTTGCCGACGCCATTCATCATCACCTCTGCGCGGCGCAGGCATGAACTACACCTGGCAGTTGCTGCCTCCCATTGAGGCACGCCTCTGGTAGAAGTCAAAGGCGAGAGTTCTGTCTCCAGCAGCAAATGTAACAGCTGTCTGCTTGCAAGGCTGGCAAAGATTGCCTCTTGGATGCAGGTAGTGACCATTTGTAAGCCGCCAGCATCAATGCTTGGCAGTGAATCAAAGGTGTCAACAGATTGGCCATGGCCGAGTCCTCGGGTCGTATTCGAAGAACTGGAGTACCCCCGAGGCAGATTCTTGCAAAGCTCAGAGAGAAGATGTCTTGAGGTGAGCTTTGGGCCCAAGGAGCCTCCCTTTGACAAGTTCCCAGCTCCGCCCATCAGGCAGGGAAGTGGATGACTTGGGGAGCCCTTCAAAAGCAAAACCCCGCCAGCGTACTCTGGCAGGGCACTCTTCGAGGCCGAGCTACGCACCCATCCGCCCACCAGGCCCATTGCCGTGTGCTGTCAATGGTCGCCATTATCTCTTGAAAGACGCAGGTTCCTCAACATGACGGGGTGGACCATTAGCCTGCAGAACATGTCTTGCGACGAGCGCAAGGTGGGACATGTGGGACGGACAGTAGAGTCAAGACAAGAGTTCCCTTCTCCGACCTGCCCTTGCAGGTTATCAAGCATTGGAACCACAGCAAAAGCATTGATGTCTTCCCCACGGAAGAGATGCAGCCTCGGAACGCCATTCAGCAACCCTGCGGTGGTTGGAGTGAAGAGAGAGGTCAGATTAGCAAGATCAGCTAGATGGACTAGGTATGACTAGCTTAGAACTTGACAGACTAAGTATTGTGACAGTGTTGTGCCAGTGCCAACCCGAGCCTTTGGAGCCATCTCACACCTTTGTGCACATGCGCTGTAAAGGCGGGTTTACGAGAATAGGGGACCCCTAATATAAACCCCCAAAGAAGAGGATTCCCTTATAAATAGGGATTTCAGTAAGGTACACCTAATTTCGGAAACCCCAGATTCTTGAAAAACATCTCAACTCTAGCCGGCCTCGGAGGCCCGAGTGCCTCGGATCTGACAGCATCACGTGGGAGCCCAATTTGGAAGGCAAGAGCCTGAGTCAAGCCTTGACTCAACCGCTGTATGTGGCTGTGGCTTTGCAAGCTTATGCGGGCAAAGCCGTTGAAGCAATACAGCGATGCAGTCAGAGCCAAGTAAGGCGAATTTGACCTCAACGAGGTCGGAGGTTGTGACACAGCCGCTTCGCTGGAGTGTAGGGCAAGGGCCCGGTTACTTCATGCGATACGAAGTCTAGTCAGTTTTCGTACTTGTAGGCCGGGCTCGGACAATGTGTTGCTTAATGCAGGAGGAAGGTGAAGATCATGAGTCGCGAACACAACGACCATGAATTCATGACTGCACCAGCACATTGGCCGGTTGGTAGCTTGCGGTCAGGCATTAGACCGACACCAGCATTCCTCTGCATCGTTGCTGTTTTGCACGGGTTCTCACAATGAACAATCTTAATCTTGCATCCTGCGAGACAGTATGTTACAACGGGGCCTCTGGTCCACGCAACATCTGGGTCAACAAGCGGAATGCCTGCAACAGCAAACGCAAACCTCAGCTGCAGGCATCAGCTTAGAAAGAGTATGGAAGCGGCAATGCTCGAAACAATGTACTGGGAAGGCTCTTCTTATTGTTTTGAGCACTGCGTTACGCCTCTTGCCATGCTCTACCCAACTGTCTGCTCACCTCAATCTCTGACAGCCACAACGACTTCAGAAGGCAACAGGAAGTGTAACGAATGTCTTTTCAGCTAAAGAGCGTCTCTCTCTATCCATGATATATGTATATATTGCTATATGTGATACATATGTATATGTATATATATATATAGACATAGGTATATGCCACGCTAAAAATGTTCTCTTACCCTATTGATAATATCTTGGCATCTGAGGCTGCCAGCAACGCATGTGTTTGCGCTGCACTGACCAATTGCGAGTGGGATCTGGCCTCAGCACATCCGTGGAAAGCGTGAACTTTCATACACACATACAAGGTGTATGAGCAACGTCAGTATTCTCCAGTACTACGATTGAGTGTATTTCCTGTTATAGTACTACTATTTAGTCTAGTTTGTATTCACAATACCTGAATATGTTGAGCTCGTATATTGCTTTTGTGCTTGGCTGTGCTTCTGCGCTTGAGCGAGGCAACAGGTGTCAGTGGAGTACCTCGTTGCGCTGGCAACTCAGTTATTTCGACCAGCGCCAAAGGGCGCGCAATGATTCTTCTTGTCGACAATCTTTGCGGCTTTGTCTTGTCCATCTTGTCACCCCTACTGGAATCTCGACACAGCTGCATACAAGCAGCCTTAGCAGAAATGTTGGATTTGGACATTGAATATCCTCCGTCTGGATTACTCTTCAAGAGATCGGATCTAGTGTCGGTTCCAAAAGCCTCAAATCCAAAGTCTTCGGGCAAATTTTCGGGGGAAGGTAGTATGTTGCAATTCTAGGACTTTTGGACTATGTGATTTTGGGAGGCTTCTCTAGGGGAAGTCTTTCTGTATGTTTGTTCGTTTGTTTTTGCAAGAAAGGCCACCCCTCCCCCCTCCAACCCCAAAAACCAAGAAACCCAAGCTTCAAAAAACCAATCCAACAATCCAGCCCTTTTTTCGGGATGTTTGAAAGCATTGGGTATGTTGGATGTTGGGATGTTGTTGACTCCCAAGTTGGTCCTTTTGAGGGCGGACCGGGGGGTGCGTGGGGGCCGGGGGAGGGATGAATATATGTGTGCATCTATATATGCCATATACGAGTACAAACATGTAATGATGGTTGTACTAGTTGTTGTTGGTGGTGGGGGTGCAAGTTAATTTAAAGGATGCCAGGCCTCACCTGCGCCACTCAGTTTCGAAGGTGTACACTTCTCGACCTGGAGTACCATGTGAGGCATGCGCAAATCAGGCCCCGCGCCATTCGTGATCTCTATTGCCAGAGACCACTGAAGAGTTGTATCCCGCCAGCCCCAATGCGTCATCACGCCTGAGAAGCAGTGCGAGATGAAGTCGACACCATGTGCCAGCGGCTAAAGAGTTGCCAGGAACTTGAAGCCTTCCACACAACATGTGAGGAAATAACTGCTCAGGCATGCGTGCTTGGTGGTGGTGGGTGCAACTGGGACATGGTGCCAGCGCCCAGTTCTTTGTGTGCTCCCGTAGCTTGGACGGATGAAGCCTGTGCTCACCCAGCTCGTGTGTGAACAGTTGCTGCAAGCACAACGTGCCAGTCCACAAGTAGATGCTTCTTCGACGTCACCGCTAGCACACCCTGTCTGGCGCCCGGAGGGTTAGCGGAGACTAATGGAGACTGCGCCACAGCACGACGCAGATGAGGCATTGCCTGCCCGCGGCAGTGGTTCTGCAGCCTGCCAGAAGTCTGCTGGCACAGCTGACGACGATTCATACGGACATGAAAGCACCGATGTTGTGGATGTGTTCAGGTGGTGCGGTATGTCAGGTGGCATGTTTGCTTCCACGCACCATGTCAGTAAGGTCAGGAGTAAGCAGCCTGAGAACCTTGCCGTGATGGGGCAGTCGGGCAGCCTGGAAATTTGCATGTGGGTTGCCACTGAAGAGTAAGCCATGCCAAGAGGGTCGAATGCAGGGCTGGGAACCGTGCCAAGGGAAGAAGTTGGCTGGTGGATCAATGTCTCGTTTGACAGGCAGGACCGCAGCCAGCATGGCAAGAGCCCAGAGTCATAGAGTGCATGATGGTCGGCGAGTCGTGATGAGTTGTGCAGTTTGTGTCGCACTCTTGGACGTCTCGTCAGGGACATTGAGTTCCTCCGCGTAGGTGCGCAGTGCGCAGTTTTTTCTTTGCCTTTGCAGCGGATGTCCCAAGAGAACCTAGGCTGCTGCACACATGAGACATCAGACGGATTCGACGCGTTACGTTTGTGTTACCTGATGGTCTTTGCAAGGCCTTGGGTCTGGCATCATGTTGCAGCAAGGCTCTCGGACGACAGTGGCTCCCACTGAAGGCTCTCACCAGTTGATTTCACTCTTCGTGTAACTCGAGCCTGCAGTGCGACGCTTTCTGTAAATTACATTAAGAATAGATGACCAAAAAGTGCATAGGGAGGCAAGTAGATGGATAAAATCAATAAGTCAATAAGTAAATGTAAATGCATATATATATATATGTATACACACATGTACACGTATGTGCATACTTATGCATGCATGTATGCATGCATGCATGTATGCATGCACATGCGTCTCGTGCATCCTTGCGCCGCGCCAAGGTGTCGTTCGAAGCGACCGCACGCAGCTCAGAGCGTGTCAGCAATCTCTGCAGAAATTGCCTCAGCTTCAACAAAGGGACCACGTGCCTCCACCTCGCTAAGGGGAGATTGGGCACCGACCTTTGAGTTGGACTACGGGCAGTTGGCGCGGACCTGTGCAGATCAGAACCTGGCTTGTTGTGGCAGAAGAAGGCATCCGTCGTTCGGCAATGCATTCGACACCCCATTCAGCTGCAAGGTCATCGAGGGAGAAGTTCTTCACATCAATGTCCAGGGTTTACCGAACGAGGAGACGCGAGATTGCGATCTTGTTACTTGGAGAAGATTTGGGCAAAGTTGCACAGCTCCTGGGGGGTGACGTCACATCTGCGTGCCTTTGCTATGTAAATCTTGAGACCAACAATGCTATCAGCAGTGCCTGTGCCGTCTGAGGTGATCTCCAACAATGCGGTGCCCCTTTTGAAGTGTGGTGATCGTGCTTCTAGTGGCTACCAGTAGTGAGCCGATTCCGACCTTCAACGCTGAACCCTTTGTCAAGCCAAATTTCAGGTACGCGGTTCATCGGCATTGCTTCCCTTCGATGGCTTAGAGGATGACCAGAATGTTTTGACTCAGAGTTGTTGTCGGTTCGAACAGTAGGTAGCTGGTTCAGCTTGCGGCTGTTCGCAGCGCCTTCTACATGAAAGTGCACAGTGCAGATGCATTGCATCACAGTCATGAAGTTGAATCTGTGGCTGCAGTGTGCAAGGACAATGTTATTTTCGTCACGATTCCAGATGGGATCCCTCCAGAGGCGGAGCTGGGGATCATTTGGATCGCAGATGTTCCCTGAAGCCTAGCTTATGGTGAAGAGCCGAGTCCAAGGACATGCACTTTCAGAAGCATGCAAATCGTGGCAACAGGGAGCTGTGGATTTTGACTGTTGCATTTTTGAAGACACAACCTGCAAACCGCACATAGCTGCCAGGTAGTAAACTTTGATCCACCGAACAGCGTCCTCAGCTCGGTTGATTTGCCAAGTTGCAGGTTGTACAGACGAGCAAAGCTATGCAAAGCTGTTAAAGTAGAAGCACAGTATGACCACTTTAAGACTATGTTGAATGCAGTCCATGTATCAGCATAACAGCGAGGCGCGGGGTGTTTCGCTTGCGCCGACCTCGTCAACAGCTACAAAGAAAGCAGCTTTACAAGGTGGTAGAAGTGAAGCAAGGTGTCAGCAGTCAGCAATCACAAAGGCGGGTGGAATGGACTGATGCCAATATCTTTTGCCACACTAAGGCCACGACAGTTCATTTCCACTTCAACGAGAACATCAAGTTCTGCCGACTCCTCACAGTCACCGACCTTCCCATGGAAGGTGAGTAGAACCTGTATCCCCCAAAGTGGAGAAGCTGCCTCAAAAGCGTGCACCGTTGCCAAGACTCCACTGGCGTGCTGGAGCTGTACATCCTTGGTGGAAACAGAACTGGCACGCGCCCCAGATTTTTTCGGGTGTTGCAACTTGACGCCTCAAGACCAGCATAATGTTCATGCGACGCAGATCGCGCGGCGGATGTTAAGATCGCGGAGATCTCCGTCTGGGACGAGGTCACGAAAGCTCCCTCTGAGGGCTGGCGGCTAGGAAGAATCGGTAATCCTCAGGCTATGGAGGGGCTCTTGTTTGTGACGGGCAAGAGAACTGCTTGGGTAGTTCCCTAGGAATCCTGAGCCCCCTGCTCCCTAAACCTTGAACCCTGAGATTCGCTCTCGGCAGTCCCTTCACTGGCTTTATCCCATCATTCCCCGCCCCCCCACCCCCTTCCCCCACCCTCCCCCAAGTTCGAATCTCCTGCAAGTATCGGAATATGGCTTCAGTGCATGTCATGGCAGCCTAAGCAGGCGGTGGCAATCGACAGGGACACGAGGCGGACCCTTCACGTGCAGCTGACTGGGCTTCTGAGCACCACCACGTGGGGACCCGAAAAATACACTGCACTTGTGCTCGGTGGCTGGCGTAGAGGGGCTTTGGACTCTGCACGCGAACCTCCCAGGTACTATTCGCTCACTATTCCAGGGAAGGCCGGCCTGCACCGTTTGGTGTGCTGTTATCTATTCTTAGCTGTGATGCTTGCAGACGATCAGCGACAGCGCCAACAACCCGTTCCCAGGCTCTTGTCTCAACGGCTTGTTCAGACATGTCTGACTGAACGACTTTAGAGGCGCACTCTTTACAAAAGACTTTGCAGCCCGACATTCTTTAGTCCTCAGTGCAAAAAAGAGTGCAAGAGAGTGTGAAGCGAGATGCCTTGAAACCAATGGCGCAAAAGCTTGTGTTGCTTGTCTTGCAGCAGCAAAACTTTTATTCTTAGGCATTGAGCGTGGAGTGTACATCTTCCAGACTGGTGCGGCCCGGGGCATGGCTTGCGACATGTCATCCAGCTTTTCTTGTGTGCGCTGATGTGCCGTGCTTCAGCACACTATCGTCGAACTCGCGATTGCTCGAAGACTTGAGGAAGAGATTGTGTCCCAAATTGAGGACAACTCCGAAGGCACGGGCCTCCGTGCACGTGCCGTTGACCGAATCCTGAATGCAAGCGAGCCTCCAAGCCCCGCCCAGAACAAACCCTGACCTTCACTCTGGTGCTGGCGTCTGTCGGTGTTCTGGCCCCTGCCTTAGCTTCCCAGTGCCGGCCCATGCATTTGAGTGTCCTGTTCCCTTACATTGCTCCCAGATTCTGGGTGTGGCTCTCGTGGCCGGATATTTGGCACGGCCCTCGCTGTTGGGAATCGTTGAGAAGCTGAAGCCGGGCAAGGTTTTAAAAGACTTTGCGGAAGCCCCGAAGCTGGCGCAGGTTCTCCAGACGGTGCGGAAAAGCAGGAAAAGGCCCCGGACCGACAGCATCAAAGCATTTGAGTCGTTTGACATCTTCACAGTAGCATATGTAACATGACCGACTCGCATGTGCACAACACGAACTTGACGAGGCCTGTTGTTCATCTCTAGCAGCGTAGGGCAACCTGAGGAGGCCAACAGAATCTTGATTTCTCGCATCGTGCCGTATCGGAGCGACCTCACAAAGTCCAAAAGCAAGCAAGCAGGGAGAACCAAGTTACAAAGCACGAAGGCTGAGGTCGCGAGAAAACGCAGCAGCAAGCCGAACAACAGCGAGAAACCGCAATCCAGCTACAACACGGCGAGAGACACGCAACACAACCAGAAGGTTCAAGCGTATCACATGGCACCAAACCGAAAACAACGGGCACAGGATCAACAGAGTCGTATCACCTGGAAAGATCCGGCTAAGGAGGGAGGTTCCTGCGGTGCAGCATCATGCGGAGCCAGCAGTGGTGCATTCGGGAACAGGATGGAGGAAGCGGGGGAAATCCTACTCGATCTCAGCTTGCGCAGCCGCTTCTGTTGGCGTTCCATGCAGGCTTCTCAATCCAAGACATGTCAGCGCACTGTATGCACCCGACTGTCACCAGGGCTCGTGTCGTTGCTCGACGTGATGAGAAGATGGAGGCCTCAAAGCATGTGACTGGGATCGTTGATGGTTGCACATGTGCCTCGCAAGGAACGTGTGCCAGACGGTCAACCGACAGCAAACATCTAAGTGTCCTGCAAGGATAAGCTTACATGCATCAGTTCTACCTCTATATTTCATTTCATCTTCATCTCTCTCTCTCTCTATCTCATCTCCATCGCCATCTCCATCTCCATCTCCGTCTCCATCTCCATCTCTATCTCTTCCTCTATCTCTCTATCTCTATCTCTACCTCTGTCTCCCTATCTCTATCTCTACCTCTGTCTCCCTATCTCTATCTCTGTCTCTGTCTCTGTCTCTATATCCCTAGCTGTTCATGTTTCTCATATATGTTTATATTTAGTAGATACGAGAATACGATCCATCTCTGATCTATCTCTCTCTCTCTATATATATATATATACCGAGCAGCTATAGCCGAGTCTGTCCTTGATGACCAACCCCTTGGCAAACCCACGCACAGGGCGGGCAGGGCAAAGAGATGTGGCGCTAAGACTTGGAGATTAAACAGTCCTGAAGATTAATTTCACCCGCTGAAGTTCTACATTAACTGCCGTCAACCTCAAGCGGACGAATGGAGATCCGCACAGACACTTCTTCGCTCATTCCATAGGCACAGCGACCTTCAGTCGAACCCGGGTTCTGAAACCTAGGAAGTCCACCAGGTCGGAGTCCGACTCTGCAAAGGTTTCGGTTGACGCTGCATGTCCCAAAGTCTTCTACAAAAGGCGGCGCCGGAGTCCAACAACGCCTTCGACGCAGAGTCGCCCAAGGTTGCAGAGCTCAGCCAGCGTCCGGCCCACAGCCAGCGATGTTTTCTGAGCACACGTGGCGAAGTACGGTGGAGTGATGAGTCAGCAGCTCATGTGAAGTGTTAATGATGCCTTTGGCGCCCGTTCCCAGTGGATGAAGAGTGGCCAATATCATTGGGAACTCCATCTTCTCCGTCGGCGAGCTCTCCAAAGGCAAGCTCTCTCTCTCCAAAGACGGTCTGTGTCCTAGATGCACGTCGTAGACTTCACCTTGGTATTTCTATAGCTGGCCTTGCAAGGGAATTTACCAACGATAAGCTGTGCTGTGAGCGGCAGAGTGGAGCAAAGGTGCAAAGTACCGGTCAGCTCCTGTCGCCACAGATGTCGCCGAAAGCACGCCCGGCCGTGCAGGCTTGGAACGCATGCCCAAGATCCGAGTTTCAGTTGTCGATGGCTCTGAGACTGGCCAGGTCTTCTCCAAGCCAGAGGAGTTGAAGACCCAAGTGCATGACCAGGCGCTTTCTTGATTAGGGTCTCGGCATATCGCACATGCCTAAATGTCCATAAATCGATGGCGCATCTCGCCAGTTGCGGCATGCTGGCACTGTCGTTAGTCCGCCGCCTAGGGTGGATGCACAGCTGTGTCTGATTGATTGCGGTGATGCAACTGCTAATCCTAAGGCCTCGCTGACTTGCATGTCAAGAGCAACTCCATGATGAGGACCATAGGCGGCAAGGCAGGGTAGCGAGTCACAGGGAAGGAGTGCCATGCTATGACAAGTTGAAAAGGCATGCGAGCTGAGTTGCTTAAGCTGCTTGCTTCCACGGCTCAATCCTACGAGACCTAGTCCAGGTAGATGACCGCAGATCAAGCCACCCGGCTGCATACTGTCGATTCGTCCGGATGCTTGTCTCAGCTGCCGGCAGCCACCGTCTCCGTCGGTGCAGGTCTTGCTTGCCGCTATATGTCTTGCATACATTGTATACCTACCTCCGAGGAGGATCCAGGCCCACTACCAGCGGCTCCGTCACTGCTCCTTCGTCGCCCGTGGCGAGAAGGCTGTGCTGGGTGAGTAGGGAGCTTTGCGGTACGCTGCGCCGTTTGCGCGTGAAGAGTGGATGGCATCTACGTCGCAGCCAGTGCTCCATTCTTAGGGTCTTAGATAGGGTCTTAGGCTTCATGGTGTCACAAGGTGAAAGCCTCGCGATGCGCCGCATGTATCGGCTTCACTCGCATGCGCCGCTGAAGTGAATGGCACGCACACCCGTTGTTACCATAGCAGGCACTCCATGACGCTGTCTCCGACCTCTCCGAAAGTGGAGGCTCACAGCTTATAGGAAGATGCACATCGCAGTCATGCATGTTGTATTCTGCCAGGATCGGCGCAAGCTGAAGTCAGCGCAAGGCGTCTGCCTCCAAGACTCTGGAAGGATGTGGCTGGGCAGTTGACTGGGCAGCACTTTGCGTTGCGAACTTCGACTTATGGTGCGGGGTGCGCAGGAACATGCATGAACATGCGAAGCAAACGCTTTCACTGGGGCATGCAGCCGTGCTGCTTGAGCCTTGCACTCAATCAGAATCACGTGAAACAAACATCCCGCGGAACATTGAATCAGCCCACCATACCTGTAGCTATGAGAGCATTTTCGCCAGAAGCTTCAGCACTCCGCACCTTGTTCGGGTGAGGCTCCATGCAATGTGCGCTTGCTCCCAAATCGTTTCGTTGTCCTTTATGCGAGACTCTCTCGCTCGGCGTCGTGTCCTGTCATGGTGCACTGGTGGCAGAACAGCGAAGCCATATCGAAGGACAGACTCGCTTATGAGAGTGTTGTGCAGATGTGTCCTGGCTACGTAATGTCGGCTACCGGCAGCTCACGAGACCAGGGAGACGAATAGCCAGTTTAAAGTGATCATCTCCGCAGGAAATTGTGAGCAGTGTCCGCGCATCTCGCAGATGTACGTCCAGCACCTCGGCAGTTCGCTTGAGGTCAAGCATGAGAAAGGGGCACATTCCTTTCTTGGTGTAAGCTCACACGCTCTACTTGTAAAGTGGCCTGGGGCCCAACACATTCAGACATACCTTTCTGGCGAGGTACTTGGATCTACAGCAACGTAAAGTACAGGATCAATGCTGGCATCGCAGAGGCGCCGTCACCCAGCACGTGATCGGACCGTGGTGCTTCGTGGTGATATTTCAGTTGTCGTGAGATTTCTAGGTCAAGTTGGACGACCCCATCACTGGAAATGGATTGATTCCGGGCTATTCAGGCGGCTTTCTTGGGACAACTATGATTATTAGGTTGTCGCTCTGGGTGCTGGCCGCTACCAGCCCACTTGGCCGAAGTTGCCGATGTCTTAAGTATCTCAGGACCAACAAGACAGTTTCGGCTTTGATGGACATCTGTGTTGAACTCCATGGAAGGCCCGATGCTGCTTGGTGCCCGTTCTGGCGAGGGTGTCATGTGCAGCTGCTCTAGGAGAGGTTTGAGACTTGCACCCTTACCCTTACACACCCTGATGAAGGTAGCACAGCAGTGCATACCCTAGACTTGCTTCCCAGGCCCTGGACTTTCTATATATGAGTAAACCCATGTCAAGACGACTTTTCCTTAGGAGGACACCTGCATGCTGAAGGTTCAAAAACCCTGTGCGACGGGGAAAGCCTTAAACACTCAACCGTAGCAGAAACCTCAGCCCTTCACTATCCTTCAAGAAGTTGGATGATCTTGCTGGTCGTATTTCTTACATGGCACTACTTCTAGCTATAGTTCCCGGTTCGTGACTTTGCTGTCAGCTCACCCGTACCACAAAACCCTGCAAAGCCACGGGTTACGGTTACAGATGACCCGTAGCGGAAACCATCAAACAACCCTGTGAAGCGACAGGAACACTGCAAAAGACCCCCCCCCCCTATGCGCGGCGACCTACGACAACTAGAGTTTTGACTGTCGCTCATGTAAATTCTCAAGCGCAAGCCAGAGCCCTTCTGTGGCTCTGAGGTAAAGGTCGTCGCGTTCACAGCCACTGGTCTGCACTTCTGCAGTGGCGGAGCCTTCGGTGGTTGCCTTAGCTTCTCAGCTGTTTGGCGAGGTCCAGGGTCCAGGACACACACTTTCCGGTTGCTGGTTGCCCGAGTCTTTCACAACCCGAGTCTTTCACAACGCTCCACAAGGGTGAGCATCATCAGCACCCTGAGGCCACGACTTTTTAAGCCCCTGGCCGCCGGCCATTCGGGACTCGCACCCGAGGGGAAAATGGGAATCGAGGGGCATGTGCTGGAAGGCCTCCGAAGAATCTTCTTCAAGCTTTGTCCAACTTACCGGGGAGCGAAAGGTAAGAAGTGGACAGCATGGATTGGAACCCCAACATACTTTTGCACTTCTCTTTGGGAGGTGGGCAGCGGAACAGAGGGGGACAAGGGCAGCGCAGAAAACATGTACTGAAATCCCGCAGACCACTTGCGTCATCTCTGCGCAGATTACAAATTTGCGGCACAACTGCAGAATGTGAGGCGCAGGGGCAGACTCATGCAGAATGCAAACAAGATATCTTTGAGCTTGAGGGGCCGGAAGCATGTATTGGAGCCACTGGCCCTAAATCTCTAGACAAATTGAAAACCCTCGTTTACTCGTTGCGCTACAAGTCAAGGACGCCCGAAAACACGTGAGCGAGAAGAGCCACAGGTCGCAGCACCCTCCCCGCGTTCCCCCGAAAGTGTGGCGTTTTTGCAGCCGCTGAAGTTGTTGTTCTACAAAATTATTTTAAGGGGCTGCGCCCATGGGCGGGCAGCGCAGGCAGAAGCGCGGGGCGAGCAGATCCGTCAAGGGTTTAGGGTTTAGGGTTTAGGGTCCTATGCCCGCCCTTTGGGGGGCATCATGCTCCTGATGCGCCCCCGGGGTCCCCTGATGCGCGCCTGGGGGTCCCGGGCTGAACCCGCTGATGCTCATGATGCGCGCCCCTTGGGGGGCATCATGGGGCATCCGCGCCCGTCCCATTTTTCGTGCCTCAACCCGCGAAAACCGACCGGGCCGCGAAAGGTCGGCGGCACTGGCGTTCGGCCTAATTCTGCTTCGCAGAAGGCCAGAGGCCAGCAAGGCTATTCCCGGGACGACCCGGGCTAAAAGGTCCGCCAATGCTCGGTCCTTGGGGACCTCGCGCTGCCCGATTTAAAGGCTGACGCCGCTGCCGCCGACCCCCAAGATAAGGACGTCCGGGCACCGCCGGGCATCTTCCGGATGATCACCCAAAAAACACACAAGCCTGCTTTGTGGCTCCCATGCATGGAAAGTAGCCAACATCTGTCGCCTTCCAAAACAACAAATTCGGCTGTTTTTGGTCCTTCTCCTGTGGGGGGGCGGCTATTAAGGGGTAGCAAAACAACAAATTCGGTTGTTAATTCGGTTGTTTTTGGTTGGGCGGCTAGGCAGGGGGGTAGGGGGGCGGGGGTAGGGGGGGGGGGGGGGGGTAGGGGGGAAGGTGGGGGGGGTGGGAGGGGAGAAAACGGCGTTTGGCCCTTTTCTTGGGGGGTGCTGGGCAGGGGGGTAGGGGGGGGGGCGGAGGGGGTCGGAGGGGGGGGGGGGAGGGGGGGGGTTAAGGTCGGGGGGGGGGGGGGTAGGCGGGGGGGGGAAGGGGGGGGGGAAGGGGGGGGGGTGGGTAGGGTGTGCGACACAAAACGCGGGTTCACCCACTTGCCCCTTCCAAAAACAACAAAATTGATTGTTTTTGGCCCTTTTCTTGTGGGGGGGGCGGCTAGGCAGGGGGGGGGGGGGTTAGGGTGGGGGGGGGGGGGTGGGGGGGGGGTGCAGCCAACACAAAACGGTGGGCCCACTTTTCATTTGGTTGGGGGCCACAACCAAACTTACCCTTGTGGCAGGGCCGCCCCTTACCCCCCCCCCAAACCCCCCCAACCCTACCCCCCCCCTACCCCCCCCTACCCCCACCCTCCCCGCCCCCTACCCCCCTGCCGAGCGCCCCCGGCCCAAAAATTAGCCAGGAGTGGAACCACGCGTTTTGGTTGGCTGCCCCCTTTTCCCCCCCCCCCCCCTTCCCCCCCCCCTACCCACCCCTACTACCCCCCCCCTGCCTAGTTGTTTTGGAAGGCATTTTGTTTTCTTCCCCACCAAAAAACGCGTGCAGGGAAGGGGCAGGCCGCGCAGTGCCGTGGGGAGAGGTAACTGCGGGTCCAGGGAGAAAAGTACGAGTCCAGCTTCTTGACGCCGACAAAGGGGGTCGGCGGATTTAAGCTCTGACTTTTGCAGCAGCTGTCGAGGTGGGGACGTCTCTTCAGACGATGCTGCGTATGCGCCAAAGATAGATCCAGGCAGGGGAGTTTAAACGAGTGGCCGCTTCACAACTCATGTGGACTCAGATGTTCGCAAGGCGTCTCTATGCATGCAGCTGTGAACAACGATGTGGCCAGGATCCAGTGACTTCGACATGGCTCTAGCATCCAACTTGCTTCTTGGCAAGCTGCTATATCTGCTGAATACACTGCCGCAGTACAAGGTCCCTTTGGGGTCTGCGCCGAAGAAATAAGTGGCTCCGCTGATCTCTGCTAACACTCGTATTGCTCACTTGTTGTGACAGGTGGCAGCAATTCGTGGCTCGACAATGGGTGCGGGCATCAGCATCGTTGCTTCCATGGACTTCGTGGTCGCCCCGCAGAACAGGACCGATTGCACCACTGTTTCCTACTGTAGCAGAGAAGCCCCTGCAGCCTTCTCATAATTTAACGCCCTTCTAGGGTCTAGGCCTACGCTCAGAGAGCTGCATGCTCAGGCGGGAGGGTTAGCAGGGTGAGGTGGGTGGGGGGAGGCGGGGTAAGCACAGAGGGCGCGGCCCCAAACTGCCCCCGCTCCCGCTGACCATCCGCTCCGGGAAGCTGCCAGCACCATTTCACCAAGGGTGCATGTGAAGTTCAGGACGATGCTGAAGTTCAAGGAAGCCACGCGTGGTTTGGGAGCGTGCTGCTCCTGGCAGGGGATCATCGCAAAGATAGGTGCATCGGAGAGATCAGACATTGAAAGCCAAAGCGCAAAACGTGCCACTGTGGCAGCGGCGGTGTTGTTGTGAGGTGTGGCGAAACTGCGGCTGTTGTGTATGCTGGCAGAGGATGTAGATGTAACTCAAGCCAAAGAGCTTGGGCAGCTTGGCATGCAGTGGAGGTGGTGTGAAATGTGTGAAGTCCAACCGTGGTCGTTTTCGCGGCCAAGGCTTGTCGATGAGATCCTAGATGGTCCCTTCTCCAAAGCGGACGAGTATGCGTTGACCCAGGCAACTGAGCTCACAGCGCAGGGCTGTCATAATACGGCACAAAAAAGAAGTGGACATGCACACACACACACATGCATGCATGCATGCATGTATATGTCATCATACATACACATGGAGCTGATCCTGTTTTGCGCACATCTGGGCTGCAGGCCAAAGCAGTCGCTAGACGCAGCTTGGACGACCGTGCAAGTCTCAAGACAACAGGCTCTTGGAAGCCATTTTGCGAGAACGCCCGAACGGCATCATGCAGCGGCGATATTTTCGCAAAACATGTTACAGGCGAGCACCACTGCCTAGTGCCGCTGTTTCCGATGCCTGCTGGGTCACCGCCGCAGCAAGGTGCGAGGGGAGTTGGGGTGAGTCTGAGAACACACAGCAGCAGAAGATTATGTCGTTACTTAGCAATGCTTCGCCTCCTTGGAAGGCGTTGACGTCCACGTCCAGCAGGCGTGCCAGAGTCAAGAGGTGATTTAGCAGCCTCAGCACTGTTCACAAGCCGATTAGACAAGCAAGTGCAAGCCTACTTCACAGATTCTCAGAGCTGTCGTAGCTCGCCCTGCAAGTCAAGAAGCAAACGCTCCTGACCTTTTTCCGGCTCGCAGCTCCTTCGTTTGGTAGGTCTAGGTAGAGTTTGCAGAGTTCTTTGGCCATGTCGAAGTACTTTCTATTACTCTTCGCTGCAACGAGGTAGCACTAGAATGTGTGGTTCTTGTTGTGAGAATCGTACAGTCCGAATCGTGCAGTGCTGAGGTTGGGTTGTGGTCATGGGGTGGCAAAGAGATGGCAATGCAGCCTGGACAGCACAAAGAAATACAAAGAACGCAGCATTACTCAGAGTGCTCGATGCGGCGACTTGAACAACGAATGGGTTACAACTTTCCCAACACTGTTTGACATCTGATTTCCTGCTACAGGGATTGTACTGTACTGTGACAAAAACTCAGTGTAGAATTTGCCGATCATTCGTACTTCAAGTATGTGCATGTGTACATTGTTTTTGCGTCTGCCGCTGCACGAAAGACCCCTTAAGGCTAAGCCAGAGCTTGCAAGCAAAGCGCCCGACGCCCTTGACCCTGTTGCGCCACTTGAGGCTGCGGCACAAGGAGCCCCTGGCAGTTCAGTGCTCAAGGATCGCCACCCTGGCTGGCTGCAACCCATATGAGAAAAGCGGAGCGACTCGGAGCAGTCTTCATTCGGACTTAGGGCTTGAGTCTGGGCTTTTAGATTCAGGATGTCTTAGGGAAAAGTCAAAGTTTCTTCCGTCTGAGACTGGCTGGCGCAACATCATCAAGAGCAACTTCCGACCGCTTTACGACAAACTGACTGAGCAGGATCGCGGCCGCTAGCCTTGGCTTGAAGCGGGTTGTCTTGAGTTTAGGGAGTTTACAGTTTTTCTGTATGCAGTACCTCAGCAAGAGAATGCCATGCGAGCTTTTTCCCAAGGCCTTCGGACGAAGGAAGATACAGCTGCTTATGAGAAGAAGCAGCTGAAGCCAGAGCAAAAGGCACTTCTGCGTCCTGCCCTGAGTTGGGACTCAGTTATGACTAAGTTCTGACTCACATATGAATGTTGTGACATTCTCTCGCAGTCTACAGCTGCTTTTGGTGCCTCAGATGCCTTAGATGCGCAGGCAAGCTTACAGAAGCAGCCATCGCGGCACCGAAGGCAAAGCGAGTGGATGCAAAACGCCACGGGCTGAACGTGTCGACCGAGGTTGCTAAACAGCTCGAGCGCGCCTCAGTTGTTCCATGAGCGTGTGTCAGTTGTTCGATGGCCAAGAGGTGTGCACAACAGTGCCTTCAGTGCCTTTTGGGGGAGCTTGACCGAGCCTTCTTGCAGGCCTGTTGCATCCTAGGAATCGGAGGTGAAGATGCAACGCGGTACCCTCGGGGAGCGCAAGGGCTTGAAGGCCGCCGAAGCTGCTGAGAAGCGGCGTGCCAGCCAGCAAAAGGCACAGAGCAGCTTGGCCGCTTTGGCCTTAAATTTAAATTTCGCCTAAACCCTGAACCCCCCCCACGTCGTTCAGCATGACTGTTTTTCTGGACTTGGCACCTTGCAACTTCCGGATAAAGCACGTTCACTTCGCCACTTTTTGTGGCTCACTTGGCCCGTTCAGGGCCCGGTCAGTGCTTGGGCTTCAAGTTTTGGGGTCAGGGGCACAGCTTAGGGTTTTGGGTTAAGGGTTTACGGTTGACTGCTTTCGGTTTGGGGTGTTAGGGTTTAGAACCTTTAAGGTTTTAGGTGTAGGGCTTGGGTTTCCAGGTTTACAAGGGTGCGTTTATGGGTGTGCGCCTACGGGTTTGGGGTTAAGGGTTGTATAATGTTAGGGCGTTTCCCTTCCAAGGGTTGAAACAATCCGAGGTCGCAACTAAGAATTCTGGGGTCAGGGGTCTGGGGGTTTGGGGTCGCTATCTCCAAGGAAGACCTGGCTAATGTATGTCGGTCTTTATCTCCCTGCCCATGATCTGCCCCTGTGGATCTTGGGGATCGTGTGCGGGGGAAGGGGGCTCAGGGCAAGTGGTGAAAGCAACAACAGGCCCGACAAGAAGCCCAATACTCTCAACGCATCAGATCACAACAGCTCGAACAAGCTGGGAAAGGCCTAGTCTTCGAGTTTAAGATTGTTCGACCCGGCTCGAAACCCATGGCGTAGGTTTCTAGATTTTCGATGCTCTGTTGTACTGAGCGGCTCCAAACTAGCAACTTGCCACAGGATGACCTCGACCTTTTTCTGAGCCGGCTCCAAAAATCTCCAGAACGAATCAAGCTTATTCCGGAGTCCAGGCTGCCCAAATTTGTGTGTGTGTGTGTGTGTGTGTGTGTGTGTGTGTTTTTGTTTTTGTGTGTGTGTGACCCTGATGTCCATATTTCGGGGTTTTTAGACCCGGCTCAAGGACAGAGCCCTCCCCCAGCATGATGTCTGTCGTTTGTCAAAATCCAGCGGGTTCGCGGGAGCATCATTGTGTGGCCGTCGAGTGAGTTGTCTGAAAGGCCGTAATCCAGTTTGCCATCGATGCTCACTCAGCATAGAGAGCGGAGTGAAGCAAGCAAGACGCTGAAGATCCCCCAAAAAAGACCCCCCCCCCGACCTGAACATCCTGAATGGGTTCTGTCCATGAAGTTCTGGGCATGTTAGCAGCAAATGCCAAGCTTTGTCCAAGGCGAATGGCTGCAAAGGGTCAGGTCCTTGGCATCAGAATGATACGGGCCGCGACGTTTGAACTGACAGCTGCCTGAGCAGTGCTCTTAACTGTCAGGTGTTATGCTCAGCACAAGACGCAAGCAACAGCTGTTTGAACCACTCAGGGTGCAAGGCTGCTTACCCTGCAAAATGACGCGATTTCTCAGATGCAGGACCCCTCTCCTCATGTGTGCAAATTGGCTTGAGCGTTGTCGGAAGGGTTCACTCAAGATGCAGACACGCCAACGGTCCCTCAGGCTTCAGTTATGTTTGGTGAGGACCTGTTGGAGGCCCTTCGAAAGCAAGACGAAGCAGTAGCTGAAGCATTGCTGAAGAGCGATCTGGTAGCAGTGACGGCTCTGCTGCCGCGGAGGCCCTTTGCTGTGGTCCTGCTTCCATTAATGTAGTTATCACGAGCAACTCACTAGCAGCTAGCAATTCCAGCTTTGCAAGGCGAATAGAACTTGCCAGGCAAGTAAAGACCATGGCAAAGGCCATGGCGGCTGAGAGCCAAAAGCTTCGCAAAGCTGCCGCCAAGAGGGCGACGCCTTTCGAGGCTGGCAACACCAAGTTTCTGGGCATGAACAAGTCCGCAACAGCCGTTCACCCCCCAAACCCACAGCGCCCAGCTGCGCACAGCTGCGCCCAGGATGTACAGCGCCGAAGTGGCCCCGGGTCTTATCCTCCGGGGCAAGATCGATGCACACAGGCCTCCGCGTGTGGCAATCCCCAAGCCTGAAGCCCAACTCGCTCTTGCCGAAGTGGAGGCAGACGTGCGACGAAGGGCACCCGAGCATTGATATTTTCGAGCATAAAGCTCGCCAGCGCCCCTTGACCCTAAGGACTGGTGGAGATTCTCTTGCAGTGCTCGTAGGGGGGCTTGTTGTTCCTGGCCGTCAGTGAGAATGGTCTGCATGCCTGACTGAGGCAGACTGCCGCTTGGCGAGAATACGGATGAGAGAAAGTCGCTGGCCAGATGCAGTGTATTCAAATTAGGGGTGTTGCATGTCAGTTTGTCCCAAGCTGCAAGGTTCAAAACCTTGAAGCAATATGTGGCTTGGAGAACAGGTATCTGCAGTGTTACGGGCATTTCTGCTTTTCATTGGAGACTGTCTTCGTACCACCAGCAGCCTCCCAAGGAAAAGATCCAGTGCCTTGGCTACATCGACCTGGTCAAGCGGCACTCGGACGATGCTGGAGTACGTTGCTTTCTCGTGGAGACGTTTCAAGGCTCCTGCAACGAGAGGCCAGCAGGCAGACTTCGCAATCTTGCTCTTCGCAGGTGCTACGTGGCAATGTGAAGTCAAAGAAGAACCAGTTCTCTGGCAGGACCTGGCTTGACCGAAGAATGTCTTCTCGAAGTCAAGTCAACAATAGCCTACGGGAGCCTTTTCGAGCCTGCGACTTCCGAAGCTGGATTTTGTTGCCCCAGGAGCAGATCCTGAGAGTCGTGAGCAAGCGGGCCGACGAGCTGCGCGATCTTATGCGAGTGGATACACCATCTCAAGTAGTCAAGGAATGGCTCGACAACCTTTGACTGTTCTCGTTCTCCGCTTTCGAGCCATGAGCAAGGTAGTTTAGGATCGTTTAGGGTGGCTGAGCTTGCCTCAGACATGCTGTCTCCAGATGGGGTTTGCAGTGCAAGAAGGTTGGGGCAAAACCCGGCGCTGCATTGTACAGACTGCACTGTATAGAGTCAAAATTCGAGTCCTGCGCGGACGAGCTTAGCAGATTTCACTTTGTGTGGGCAAATCAAAACTTACGAGGATATATTGGCTGTGGCCATTTGGCATGGAGTAGACGCTGTCAGCTGGTGCAGTGCGCGCCTCTAGTATTACAGTGCTAATGCCGTGTGGTGTAGATGTGAGTGAGTTGAGCGGGCGAGCGAGCGAGCGTGTGTGAGAGTGAGTGTCTTTGTGTATTTGTCTGTGCTGATTCCCAGTTCCAAGACATTCACCGGCGCCAGGCGCTGAAGAGACACCCTGGCCGAGCCTCCCCTGCGCGGCTTAGCCCTGAGGGTTGGCCACACAAGGCAGCGGATGCACAGCATTGCACAGCATTGCACAGCAGTTGTCAGTAGGTACTTGACTGACATTGCAGGCTGTCAAGGTCTTGATGACTGGACAGCAGCCCAACTGCAAAGCAACTGTTGCGCCCATGGTAATCCGCATCATGCAAGTGAACCAAGGCATGTTGCTTCGCCCCTCAGTGCCAATTGAGTGCGATATGTGATTGGGTGCGCAGCATGATCATCGCATTTGCCTTTCCTTTCACTCTAGCCCGAACGGGCTGGTCCGAGCTAGGGCTGTCTGGAACGCGTCCAGTGAGTCCAGCGTTAAGAGCTCCTTGATGCTGCGTGAGGCTGCATCTCTTCCCAGATGACGTGGATGCACTGCTGGCTGGTCTGGTGGACGCGCTCGCAGAGTTGCACCGAAGCGTGGGCAAGGCTTCAGCTTCGGGGCGAAGTGTTTCTGCATTCCGCATGCCTTGATGGAAAAGGTGCGGCTTCTCCAAATCGAGATGCCAAGCGGGGGATGCTTGAACGCTCGCTTGCCTCCTGCTCTTTCGGATCGATTCCGCGAGGTACTCGCAAGCTTGTTATGTCGCCGCATTGCCGCAAAATGCCACATCCACTCGGCAGTCCCAGAAGCAGTGTGCAGCTTCAGAGATCACGTAGTACACTACGTAGCTCGTCTGTGAGTCCCTGGGAGGTCCTGGTGCTGTTCCACATGCTGCCCATGTTTGTGTGGGGTACGGTGCACGGAGAAGCATCTGGACTGGGTCTCGTGCTTTGCTCGACCTTTGATGCCGTGGTGGCGGTGGAGGTGCTTTCAAACGGTTTAAAATGGCTATGGTTTAATATGGTTTAATATGGTTTAATATGGTTTAATATGGTTTATGTGGGTTAATTTGTTTGATTGAATATGGTTTATGTGGGTTAATTTGTTTAATATGGTTTGATATGGTTTAATATGGTTTCATATGGTTGAATATGGTTTGATGATCTTTGGCACACCAGCTGCCACAAACGGTGCAATTCGCGTTTAGGCCCGTCATCGCCACAGGCAAGCTTTGACTTCTCCAACCTCTCACTTGAGTGTCCTGGTGTCGCAGATTTCCTTTGTCCTCGCTTGAAGGAGGCCGGCATTCTTCCGAGGTACTTTCCCTTTAATCTTGTTGCTGTTGCTAGATCTGTCGCGCCTCGGCCGATGCCGGTGCAGAGATGCAGTCATAGGGGTCTTGGGGTTTTGGCTTTTTTGGGTACCTACACTCAAAGTGCACATGTTAGGAAAGCACCCTGCTGTACATAGTTTCCGGTGGTATCGTGCAAACAGCTTCGCATAACTTCGTTGCACACGGTTCCTATGCAATGGAGAACGGGATGCTTGAAAGGCCTGTGTGTGTTCCGTTTCCCTCTCTGAAAGATGGCTTTTGTGAACTTCTGCGTACGTGCAGGCGTGTATAGTTGTACATTTTGGCGCAGGCCATGCTGCCGATGGGGAACCCCGTGTCAGCTGAACGGGCGAAGGACTGTCAAATGAGCACTGTCGCCCCAGAACCTGCCACCCACTCTACTGGCCAGGAACTTGGACTTGTCTACGAGGTGGTCCAAAACGATCAGCAAGCAAAAGACCTCTTGGCGAGGACCTGTGTCTTGGCTTCACCGGTCGCGCCGCAATGGTGTTCAGCCAGGTTACTGGCAGCAAGTCAGCATAATTCAGGTGTTTGGAAAGGAACTTTGTAGCTGCATGGACACACAAAGAATAGGGAAATGTCAGAGGCAGCAAGCTCTCAGAGTGTGCGCCGAATGCGGTCCGAGCCTCAGGGAATCGGAATCGTGCCGTCCAAAGGACGTTGCCAATGTAATCAAGCCACTTTCCATGCTGACGGTCAGTGCCTGCATTGTGGGCGGCTGTCACAGTCGCTGTCACGATACTTTTTGACTCCTGGTAGACTGAGTGCGCAGCATACTTAGCGACCATTGCTATCCATTGCTGGCATGAGTGATCATTGTCTGGCTTTCCAGGTCGCGCAATCCAAGATGTTCATACAGAAGGCGACTTGTATCAGCTTGAAACCTTAAGACGTCACCCTCAACTCGAACTTGCCTCGCTTGCTGCTGGTGCAAGATTGGGAGCACGCCTATGGAGCCTCAAGTCCTTGAAGAGCTTGCTTGTCACATCGCAGCCTGGCTACTATTGATTTTTTCCTGGCCGGCCTCGAACCCCAAACCTTAGGGTGCCTCCAGTGGCCATCTCCAGCAGTGTGCAGCTTTATCGTACCCTACGCCTTTCCAGGAGCTCTAGCAGTACGAAGCTGCAACCGACAGGCTACGAAACTGTGCCTTATTGCCCACAAGCAGCTGTCACCTACGCCACTATGTGCTGCAGCCCTCCTGGGCTCGCCCAAGCGCGTGCGAAGTTGCACTCTACGGCTTCCTTGAGTTCAAAAGCAAACCTCAAGCAAGTACGATACGAAACTGCACCCACACAAGCAAGTTCAGGTAGGGTGGCAAGCAGGTCCAAGGCGGGGGTCCACAAAAGTCCATAGAGTGTGTGTAACGTTACCTGCCCAGGCACATCGCATTCAAGACCCGGAGTTTCAGGACTCGATTAGGCAGATTGTGGACAAGGCCAGAGTTGGGCTAAGCTGGCAAAAGTTGGGATCTTGCTTGTAGCATCTGCCAGGGCCACTTGCCGGCGTACAATCGGCCGGCGAGCAGAGTGGACCCCTCTCTCAATTCAGAGCCGATCTGGATCCAATTCCATTCCAATTCCTCTCAATCACGGCTTTTGCAGGTCCCTATCATGTCTCGGAGCCTTGCGTATACGTAGGGTAACCAAATCCTGCCCCAGCTTCAGCGAAAAACCATAGTACCTGTAGGTACTTGATAAAGACATTGAAGCTGGAGTCTTTGGATAAAATCAAGTGTGCAGGCTGTCTCTGAATCATTGGTGCGCTTTTTGCTGAGGTTCCAGAGCATCTGCTTTCAGCGAACCAGGTTGGAGTGTTGCGTGCATGGACTATTTAGGTCGTGAAGCAATTCTTGCCGGCGGGCTTGTCACACACCATGACGGTTGCTGTGCGCAGCCATCTGCAACGAGGCATGTCTAATGCAAAGCAACTATACAACAGAAAGTGCATGGCTTTTCCGGAGCAGTACAGTGTAAACAGTACCGCCCTTTTACCCTTCCGAATTAATGATTCAGTCCGTGTTCGACTGCATCCCAACAAATACATGCACATATATATATATATACACACAAACACACAAACAAACAAACGCACTTACTCGCAACTTACCCACACACACACACACACACAGACATACGTACGGTCAGCGGCTGCGGCGATCAATTCAATCGACTTCCTACCGGCTCTGGCTCGGTGGCGGGCCCTGCGCGCACATGTGGCTGCGGACCGCTGTGTCACGCCGCCTGGTGCGTTTGACGCTGACCGGTGCAGGGTAGAGTAGAGAACCAATGCGCTTGAGCAGTTCGTGGCGGTTAGTTTTTCACAAAACGAACCACAGCTCAGGGATGAATTGGAGTAGATGTGTTTCTGCTCTTGAGAGGGAAACGATTGACAATTGTTGTGCTGAGGCATGGGCTGCTCTTTCTCGCGCCGAATTCTTCACTTGCTACTTGCCTGTGCCCTGCAGCCGACCGTAGTGGTGCCTTGTCAGAAGCTTGAAGTAGAGCGTGGTAGAGGATGTTGAAAGCAAGATCACTGACTGGCACTTGTGAGCAACAAGTCGTCTCCAACAGAGGTGTTACATCGTACAAGGGCTCACAAGTCGGCTTAGGGCTGCATCAGCTACTGTATAGAGCTGCTTCGTGAGGAGGGACTGGAGGTGGAGGTGACAGTCCAAGCTGCTTGGCCTGCAGCTTCTCTGGCAGCCGAGCTTCTCGAGGGGCTGGCAGAAGTTGGTCGAGGCGCAGATTCCTTGATGCTATTTGATGCTTCAAGACTTCTTTGCAAGGGCTACCACCCCCAACGCCCAACGCCCGCCCCCGCACCCACTCCCGGACAATTTCTGGCATGCCTGATGTCAACAGACTGGCAATCGCAATTCTCCAGGCCACTGGGGACCCCTGGGCAATACCATTGCCGCAGCTTTTGGGATCGAGCGTGCAGCCGCTGTCGAGTGAAGCCTTTGTTATCCTTTGTGGATCGAAGATGTTCAAAGGCATCATTGGGGCCTTCTTGGTGTCGCTGCCGTGGGCAGATGCCACTTGCCTGGCTGACAACAAGGAGAAGCTGAAGACCTGTGGCAGTGAATGTATGGACAGCAAGGACAGAGTGATCTGCGTTTCTGACTGCTTGCAAAAGCAAGATGTGGTGGCTGTCTGTGCCGATTGCTTAGGGTCGGAATTCGATTGTGGCAGCCGTTTCTGCGCAGCTGCATGCGAAGGGGAGCAGGCGAACGGCCGAAGCGCTTCCTGCCAGTCTTGCTTGCAGTCCCAATGCAGAGTCTGCAGCAGCGAACTTGACTTCCAGGCCAACACAAACTCGAACAGCCTGGACAGCGACCTGGCTGAAGCAGTTGAACCTGCTACGCCACCAGCGGACGGCGAGACAGATGACGTGAAGTCGCTAGCAGCACTCGCCGGAAGTTGTGCATCCAGCGGTGCACTGATAGATTCCTGCGGCACTCCTTGTTACTCCAGCGCTGATCCATCTGGCTGCTACGCCACGTGCGCAATGAAGGCTTGCTTCAGCGGGTGCTATGAGTGCAGCACGGCCCACTGCTTCGGCTCGTGCAGGCGATCCTTCGCGAGCTATGAATGCGCAACTTGCGTGAGTGGCTTCTGTGATGGATGCACGGTCCAGATGCAGGCGAAGGAGGCTTCCACGATGTTTCCCTGAGTGCTACTGAAAGTTTAGGACGCCAAAGGTGACAAAAGCTCATCGCAGCGGAGCATAGTCCAGTATGTGCAGTATGTACGGCAGAGCTGTGCATGGAAGCACATGTGTTGTGGCAGGTGACAGACACCCTGCCCAGCCATTCAGGTGGCTCGATCATCTTTTGAATTTGGCATGTGCAGTGCCGCAACATCGTTGCGTGTAGACCGGCCAGTGAAGGTCTCGAACAGCCGATGCCGCAAGAAGGGTACCCCCGCACGCCCCGCCCCCACACCCACTCCAGGACAACTTCTGGCATGCCTGATGGCAACAGACTGGCAATCGCAATTCTCAGAGTCTGCTGGGCTACCAGGCCACTGGGGACCCCTGGGCAATACCATTGCCGCAGCTTTTGGGATCGAGCGTGCAGCCGCTGTCGAGTGAAGCCTTTGTTATCCTTTGTGGATCGAAGATGTTCAAAGGCATCATTGGGGCCTTCTTGGTGTCGCTGCCGTGGGCAGATGCCACTTGCCTGGCTGACAACAAGGAGAAGCTGAAGACCTGTGGCAGTGAATGTATGGACAGCAAGGACAGAGTGATCTGCGTTTCTGACTGCTTGCAAAAGCAAGATGTGGTGGCTGTCTGTGCCGATTGCTTAGGGTCGGAATTCGATTGTGGCAGCCGTTTCTGCGCAGCTGCATGCGAAGGGGAGAAGGCGAACGGCCGAAGCGCTTCCTGCCAGTCTTGCTTGCAGTCCCAATGCAGAGTCTGCAGCAGCGAACTTGACTTCCAGGCCAACACAAGCTCAAACAACCTGGACAGCGACCTGGCTGAAGCAGTTGAACCTGCTACCCCACCAGCGGACGGCGAGACAGATGACGTGAAGTCGCTTGCAGCACTCGCCGGAAGTTGTGCATCCAGCGGTGCACTGATAGATTCCTGCGGCACTCCTTGCTACTCCAGCGCTGATCCATCTGGCTGCTACGCCACGTGCGCAATGAAGGCTTGCTTCAGCGGGTGCTATGAGTGCAGCACGGCCCACTGCTTCGGCTCGTGCAGGCGATCCTTCGCGAGCTATGAATGCGCAACTTGCGTGAGTGGCTTCTGTGATGGATGCACGGTCCAGATGCAGGCGAAGGAGGCTTCCACGATGTTTCCCTGAGTGCGACTGAAAGTTTAGAACGCCAAAGGTGACAAAAGCTCATCGCAGCGGAGCATAGTCCAGTATGTGCAGTATGTACGGCAGAGCTGTGCATGGAAGCACATGTGTTGCGGCAGGTGACAGACACCCTGCCCAGCCATTCAGGTGGCTCGATCATCTTTTGAATTTGGCATGTGCAGTGCCGCAACATCGTTGCGTGTAGACCGGCCAGTGAAGGTCTCGAACAGCCGATGCCGCAAGAAGGGTACCCCCGCACGCCCCGCCCCCACACCCACTCCAGGACAACTTCTGGCATGCCTGATGGCAACAGACTGGCAATCGCAATTCTCAGAGTCTGCTGGGCTACCAGGCCACTGGGGACCCCTGGGCAATACCATTGCCGCAGCTTTTGGGATCGAGCGTGCAGCCGCTGTCGAGTGAAGCCTTTGTTATCCTTTGTGGATCGAAGATGTTCAAAGGCATCATTGGGGCCTTCTTGGTGTCGCTGCCGTGGGCAGATGCCACTTGCCTGGCTGACAACAAGGAGAAGCTGAAGACCTGTGGCAGTGAATGTATGGACAGCAAGGACAGAGTGATCTGCGTTTCTGACTGCTTGCAAAAGCAAGATGTGGTGGCTGTCTGTGCCGATTGCTTAGGGTCGGAATTCGATTGTGGCAGCCGTTTCTGCGCAGCTGCATGCGAAGGGGAGAAGGCGAACGGCCGAAGCGCTTCCTGCCAGTCTTGCTTGCAGTCCCAATGCAGAGTCTGCAGCAGCGAACTTGACTTCCAGGCCAACACAAACTCAAACAGCCTGGACAGCGACCTGGCTGAAGCAGTTGAACCTGCTACGCCACCAGCGGACGGCGAGACAGATGACGTGAAGTCGCTTGCAGCACTCGCCGGAAGTTGTGCATCCAGCGGTGCACTGATAGATTCCTGCGGCACTCCTTGTTACTCCAGCGCTGATCCATCTGGCTGCTACGCCACGTGCGCAATGAAGGCTTGCTTCAGCGGGTGCTATGAGTGCAGCACGGCCCACTGCTTCGGCTCGTGCAGGCGATCCTTCGCGAGCTATGAATGCGCAACTTGCGTGAGTGGCTTCTGTGGTGGATGCACGGTCCAGATGCAGGCGAAGGAGGCTTCCACGATGTTTCCCTGAGTGCGACTGAAAGTTCACGAACGCCAAAGAGCGCAGCTGTGCATGGAAGCACATGTGTTGTGGCAAGGTGACAAACACCTGCCCAGCCATTCATGTGGCTCGATCGTCTTTTGAATTTGGCGTACGCATCTTTTGAATGTTGCGTATGGAATGCCATGCAGTTCCGCAACATCGTTGCGTGTAGACCTGCCAACAAAGCTCTCGAACAGCCCATGCCGCAAGAAATCCTTTCAAGGGTAACCCCGCACGCCCCGCCCCCACACCCACTCCAGGACAACTTCTGGCATGCCTGATGGCAACAGACTGGCAATCGCAATTCTCAGAGTCTGCTGGGCTACCAGGCCACTGTGGACCCCTGGGCAATACCATTGCCGCAGCTTTTGGGATCGAGCGTGCAGCCGCTGTCGAGTGAAGCCTTTGTTATCCTTTGTGGATCGAAGATGTTCAAAGGCATCATTGGGGCCTTCTTGGTGTCGCTGCCGTGGGCAGATGCCACTTGCCTGGCTGACAACAAGGAGAAGCTGAAGACCTGTGGCAGTGAATGTATGGACAGCAAGGACAGAGTGATCTGCGTTTCTGACTGCTTGCAAAAGCAGGATGTGGTGGCTGTCTGTGCCGATTGCTTAGGGTCGGAATTCGATTGTGGCAGCCGTTTCTGCGCAGCTGCATGCGAAGGGGAGAAGGCGAACGGCCGAAGCGCTTCCTGCCAGTCTTGCTTGCAGTCCCAATGCAGAGTCTGCAGCAGCGAACTTGACTTCCAGGCCAACACAAACTCAAACAGCCTGGACAGCGACCTGGCTGAAGCAGTTGAACCTGCTACGCCACCAGCGGACGGCGAGACAGATGACGTGAAGTC